TTCCCACCCCTAGCGTATTTCCCCAAGGATTACTAGTGCCTGAAATTTCACTATGGCAGATCCTCTTCTTTGGCTTAAGGTTTTATAGCCTGTTAAATGGAAATACTGATCAAGTAAGACATTTTATCTTATAAATCGTTTATGCTCCTGGAATTTAACGAAAAAACCTCCCAGACAAATTAAATCATGCATACTAATAAGCAGTAGAGAATTTTGGAATCTTGCAAAGAAAGGTGTTCAAAAATCTCTCAACGAGTATATTACCGGCAATCACAGTGAGAACATTGCAATAATGACAAAAACAGATATTGTTCTTGAACCCCGACTGGGGCCAGGCTATGTCCTAAACACTTTCCCACGTACAATCTCATTTCTCTGGTCCAGGACCTTGTGGAGTAAGTACCATTATTATCACTGTCTTACAAAAGGTGAAGTAAGTGCTTGAATCACTCAGCTGGTGAGAAAGTTAGGACGTAAGCCCAGAGCCTGGGCTCTTCTTCACTGCATCAGATTTCCTATTCTCATTCTACCCAGAATAAAAGAAAAAACCTGTCACCGAGGGATCGATCTGGTAAGATAATAGCAAATTATTTCGGAACTAAATCCAAAGAAGTAAACCTCTCAAATTTTTCTTTTAATGGTACAGTTTTGCTCTCCATATATGCTATGTGTGCTGAGCGATTCGCTTGTGTCTATATCAACAGACCTCATCTGTGTTGGTGGCAGTGAAGGAATGGAATAGATTTATGAAATCTCTTAATGAAGGGTTTACATTAATATTTTGATTAATTTATTAATTTATTAATTTATTTATCTGGCAAGGGACTAGAGCGCACCCTACTGGCCAACTAATAGGAAATACAGCATTTACTGGGAGGGGAACGTAATGCTAAACTTTGAAGATAAAATCAGATTCACGTTTAAAAGAAACCTGAAAAACACTGTCTTGCAAACATCCACGTATTCAGTTAATGCGCCTATTGGACACTAAAAAGTTTCTAATAGTTCTAAGTTCCAGAAATGGGCTATTGATGCTATTATATTGATGGAAATACAATAATCACCAAATAGCATCAAAGTTTCTTAAGGGAGAATGAGATCAATGAAAAGTGGTTCAATTTAAAAATAAGCAACTATACAAATAGCCTCTCTAAGACTCGTACTAAGAAAAAGGTAGCCTCACAGGCTGAGTATACTGCACATATGTTTTTTCTTTTATCTCTCTCTCTCTTTTTTTTTTTTAAGGGGAAAATCTAGGAAGGGAGAGGAGTATCCCTAACTACAGAAGGGAAAAATGGAAGTTGTAAAGAAATCTTTTTCTGTGCAATTTTTCAAATGGCTGCTACAGTTGGAAGCTCAATGGAGAGAGAGTCCCTTGGGCTGTGGTGCCCTTCATGAATGAATCTCAGCTCTCACCAGCATGGATATTTTGCAGTAACCCACAAAGGCTATTGGATATATAAATATATATCTGTGCCTGGATGGTTCCAAATCATAAAGTGGCATACTAACAAATGACCTCTAAGAAATGCAATTCTTCCATTGTCGTGTATTCTTTATTGCACACTTAGCTATAAAAAAAAAAAAGTGCATAGTCACATTTATATCATGAATAGACAAAAGTAAATGCTCTAGAACTAAGAGGGTGATTCAGAAAGTGTCTCACTTAAAAGTATTTCTTTATAAACAACATAGAAACGCAAAAGCATCTATAATCAAGAAGAATAAACACCAAAATGTGTATCCTCCTCTGCAGGATTCAATAATATTCAAACATAAATTTGGGAAGGCTGTAAGGCCCTTGTCCAGCATGTTCCTGCTTACACACAACTTGTGGTATTGTTAGACAGGAGGAAAAGGAACAATGTCTTTAGAGAAGCAGTGTCTGTGATTCTACAGTTTCTGAGCCAGAGCCTCTCCTTGTTCTTATTCCAAGGACAGCTTCTTCTTACACAGAAAAATGGGCAAGTGCAAAGGGACAATTTGGGTCAATGTGATATAAGTCTAACATTTTAGATATTATGTTTAGTTTTTTTAAATTAAAAACTAATCAGCTAATTATACTCCCTGGGAAGTGCATCCAAATTAAATAGACTGTGAGAGATGTAAAAAAAAAAAAATTGACCTTAACCTTCTCTCTTACTGGAGACAATTTAAAACAAGTTAGGTTTGGTACAAAGAGAATATTTTTACTCTAAACCTCTAGTCTAGTGTTCTAATCGTTAAAAGTCAATGAATGATCATTTGATGAACACCATATGCTAATACTATTTCAAATGCTTAGCATTTTCCTTTTAAACTCTTCCCAAAATATTCTACAATATCATTGACATGACCATGTTATTACAAAATATCACTAGTAGACTATTAGATAAAAGATTTGTGGGGTAAAAGTCTATTCATGTAATTCAGCCACAGCTGAGAGAGCTATATTACATGAACATAATTGTAAGCAGAATTCAGTAAGATATCAACTGTAACTGTTTTTTCCTCAAAATGAAAAAAATCAAGATGTTGATTTTGCTGGTTTAAAATAGATCGGAAGAAAAAAATGGATTAATCATGTATTACTCGTGTGATTTTATGATTTTTGATAATTTACCAAAACAGCACACCGTATAGCTCACAAACATATAGCGAGTATCCTATTGATCTTCTTTCTCTAAAGAAGGGCTGTGTTTTTGTTTTTTTTTAAGATTTTTTATTTATGTATTTGAGAGAGACTGAGAGCATGAGAGCGGGGAGGGCCGGGAGGGTCAGAGGGAGAAGCAGACTTCCCGCCGAGCAGGGAGCCCGATGGGGGACTCAATGCGGGACTCGATGCGGGACTCGATCCAGGGACTCCAGGATCATGACCTGAGCCGAAGGCAGTCGCTTAACCAACTGAGCCACCCAGGCGCCTAAGGGCTGTGTTTTGATGGTTGCTCTTGCCATTTTCACTGGCAACGAAGAGGGGAATGTAAAAACATGCCAATAAGGCCAAAGCACAAATTACAACTGTATTGTAGTGGCTTGAAATAGCATAACGAGGGTTCCTTTTGGATGAAACTTGAGCTCATCTAGGTCCCCATTCAGTCAATGCTGCACTGTTAGGTCTGAAAAGATGTTCTCTGGCAAGTTCTCAGGCTGGTCCTTTTGGTACGCTGATAACAGCATATGGGTAAGTCTTAAACATAAATGAAACCAAAATGGGGGGCAACAATCTGGGTGGATTTTCTGTGAATCAAAAAACTGATTTTGGTTAAGAAAACCAGCAAAGAGTTGTGACTAATTTCCATCATCCTAAAATAATACTAAATGAAAGGGCAATAAGAACGTAAGTTAATAGATGGAATGACTGAACTGTTGGTAAGTAGCACAGGCCTGAAAATGACCCAAGAGACCCTGTAGGCCAGAAAGAGCCCATCAGAAAGACCAGAGAGTAGAGCTCTCTGCTAAATACCTGTTGATCTTGCAACTGAAAGGGGGCAAAGGAATCCTTCAGGTGTGTGTGTGTGTGTGTGTGTGTGTGTGTGTGTGTGTGTGTGAAGGCATTGAATTCAAAATTAGGTCTTTGAATTAAATTTAAAAAGAATGTAAGTAAACAATAGGGGAGAAAAGGCAAATCATTTCATGGAGTGCGTAAGTTAATAGTTAACCTGAAAATGAGGTCAGAATCTCATTCCATATGTTAAACGACCCCAATTAGGTGGTGCTAAATGTGTAACTCTCAGGCACAATTGCTGAAACCAGAAGGGGCTCTACAAGACTAAGGAGGTCAGCCGGAGGTCTGTGGCCTCTACTTAATAGAGAGTACCATTCAGGGGACTGTTCTGGTTAAAACTGGAGGGTTTCTGTCTGTTTGCTTTTTTTCTTACTTTAGTTACTCTTGGTTTGTTATCATTTGTATTATTTATTTTACGGTTAAACTATAAGCCTAAGTTGCATCACCGTTGCGGGGAGAAGCCTCCTCCCGCAGGCTTTTGGGTGTTTTGTCCTTGGGCATCACTGGCTGCCCGGACGCCCAGAGATGCTGAGAGCAGCGTGGGTCTAATGCGTCAACACCAGATTGGAAACTGAAGGAGAGGCCAGGTGGCGGTTGGGGCTGCTCCTTAGGGAAGCCCGTGGGCTTCTGCCACCAGAGACTGGCCTTGATTTTCAAACATGTGGTCGGTCAGAGGAGAGGGGGCTGGGCGGACCGCGTTCAGCGTTCCCATGAAAGGCCCTCGGCAGGGTGGCCTCACTGCCCCTCACGGTGTCACCCTGTCCCATGCTGTCCCACTCTGCCCCACACTGCAACCCTGTCCCTCGGTGCCTCTTGCTGTCCCACACCGTCCGTCAATGTCACTCTGTCCATGCTGTCCCCTGCTGTCCCTCCCACGCCTCTCCTGCCCGCAGAGGCTCTACTGGCCTTGGCCCGGGCGTCCTCCGCCATCCCCGCGGCGGCGGACCAGGTTACACCCGCCAAACCCCGCCGGGGCCAGGAAACTACGGGAAAGCCTGCGCGACGCTCGGCGCCCCCTTTGGTTTGGGCGGAACGCGGGCCAAGGCCGAGCTGCCCCCACCCTTCGGGAAAAAATTCAACATCAGGATTCTGGGGGCTCGGCAGCTGCCGCCGGATCCGACAGAGCCGAGGCGCGGAGGCCGCCGAGGCCCAGAAATGGTTCCCCGGAGACAAAGGCCGCATCGCCGCGGGCCCGCGCGACGCCGGTGGACCCCACGCCAGCGCCTGGGCGGCGGCATCGCCCCTTTAAGCGGCGCGCGGCCGGGATTGGCTGAGCGGGAGAGGTGGGGCGCCGAGCGCCGACGTCACGGCCCCGCCACTCGCTATATATGGCGGCGTCGGCCGCCGCGCCGACCGCGGCCGAGTGCGAGCGGGGAGCGCAGTCGGAGCCGGGCGGCCAGTGAGTGGCGAGGCGCCTGCGCGGTGTCCGGGCCCTTGAGCCCGCGGCGCTGAGCCAGCCGGGACGGACATGCGCGGGAGGGCGCCGTGGGGCAGCGGCGGCTCCGCGGGGGTAAGGGGCCTGCGGGCCGGGGGTGGGGTGGGGAGAGCGGCGCCGCTCCGCGCCCCCGCCCCTGCCGGGCCCCTGCGCCGGGCTGCGGGCGACTCCCGACGCTGGGCGGGTCCCCGGGACGCGGAGTCTCCCGGGACGGACAGACAGACGAACGGACGGGGGGTCGGGGCCGGTGCGGGGGCGCTGCGCGGGGGCCTGGGCTTCGGGAGCGGCCGGCCGGGGTCCTGCGCCCGGAGGCTGGCGGCGGCCTCGGCGGCCTCCCTCCCACAACGGGGCTGCGCTGCCCCGGCGCGCACCGCGCGTCCGTCAGCCCGGTCCCGAAGGTTGGGCTGGGGGTGGCCGGTCCGCGCGGTCCCTCGGCGACGGCGGTCGTCCCCGGTTTAGGGTCCTTGAGTTCCACGGAGTAGTTCCGAGCCCCCCCTTCCTCCCGTCTCGGAAACGCGATCTTTTGGTCGGAGCGCCCTAAATACTGCTTCCGAAGGAATGGAAGTTCAGAATTCTGTGTTCGGAGCGTGACTGCTTACTGGGTGTTTCTCGTGTGTAGGTGCGTGTGTATTTATTTGTGTATCACAGCCTCGTTCAAATTAGATGACTTCTTAACCGTGATTGGTGCTGTATTGGTGCTTGCAAAGTCTTTATTAGGATTTCGTCATTGCTTGAAAGGAACCAGTCTCTTACCTGATAAAAAATATGAATAGATTGTTAGTCATAAACTTAAGTGCAGTCAGAATAGACTGTAGCTTTAAAGGAGATGTGTTGGTGACTTTAGGTACACCTGCAACACAGGTAGGGCCGGACTGGTTTCTAAGCAACTGTCAGAGGTGAAGAAAGGTGAGGTTAAAATGCCTCCCGCCCCCCCCCCCCCCGCCCCCGAAGAACAGTATTCTGCACGGTTTTCAGCTTTTAGAAATCTGTAAGAATGCAAAGGGTATGTGTTTGTTGGGATACTGAAACATTCACCATACCACGTCTTTTTTTTTTTAACTCCTTCCCCCCCCCCCCCCCCCATTTCTGTAATTACACAGTTTTCAGCAAAGTTTTACTTAAACAGACCAAAGACAGGAGGCCAGGTACCCATTTCAGCAATTGACCACATTTTGCTAAGAATAAAAGTTGGCTTCTTGTTAATTGTGCTATGATTGGTTACCAGTATGTACTGCTATCTTTTCCAGATATTAGCAGATTTGAAGAGAAATACATACAGCTTTTAGCCTGAACTTCAGATGCCATTTGTCAGTTTCTTCACTTCACACAGAGGTTTATTTTCAGCTGCATGTCTCAGTGGATACTGGCTAATAGGTGATAGAGGTCCTGGGCTAACAGTATATAACCTGACATATATTAGATTGTAAACCCCTTAAGGGCAGGAACTCTTCCTTGTACAGCTTCTGTCTTGCACAGCCTTGCACACAGTTGATGGTTGATAAATAATTGCATGGAAGCATATTTTACATCTTAAAGCTCAGCAGGATTGGACCAGTCACTGATAAGGGTGGAAAGCAAATCTTTTTTTATGGCTGTTATGAAATGTCTGAATTATTCATATTTTCAACAGATACGTAAAATTACTGTTTCAGTGAATTGTTTCTCCTCCTTTCAGTCCACAATAGCTACTGGTCACTCTTTCTGTGAGATTTAATTATACTGTAGACTTGGGTTTTTGTTTGGAAATAACTCTCTTAACTGCTGCTCCTCAGAAGTTGAACCGGATAATACTCCCTTTCAGCTAATACTAATGGTAGCTTTTAAAAGCAAGTTGCCTAAATTACAGGTACAATCTAACATGCTTGAAACTGACCTGAATGTCTGCATACCATCAAGTTGCTTTAGAAAGGTGAGCAGAGGAGGGAAAGGTGGTGCCAAGGGTAATTCCAGGAATTTGAATGTCATCAGCTCCCTCTGCCAGAGAAACAGCTCTGCTTTTAATCTCAATAAATTTGAATTGGTACCTCATCATCAGGGTTCCTTTTGCATCTTTTGGTGCTGGTGTTTGGCCATGCTTCATAAACGCTAAGGAACAACCTACTAGGTACGAGATAAGCAAGATCCAGCTGTACCCGCACAGCATAAATGCATGCTCTGTAAAGGTAGATAAAACTGGTGAGTTTCAGGGTTCTGAATGTTAGTTATTAGCATAATAGAGAAATTTGCTTTGAGATAGGGAAAAGTTAGTGTGGGACTCAGACTTCAGAAGGGGAAAAGGATTCTGCAATTTGGAATCATTGTTGATAACTTTAACCCAATTCCTCATACTGTAAAATGGGGCAGTATTACTAAGAGGTGAATCTTCCGGGCTTCAGTGAATGCATTTGTAAAATATGGGGCTCTGGCTACATGAGTTTTACTCCTTTTCCACTCCACAGTGCCGTGATTCAGCATTTCAGGGGAAGCAGTAGGTGGGTAAGGATGAGAAGACATTGATGCTCTTCTTGAAGACCCACAGCATATGAAACTGGCCAGGTACAGATTATTTAAAATAATCTGTATTTTATTCCCTCTGAGTGGAATGCTCTTCTGATTCTTCTCATGGCTGCCTCCTTTTCCTCATTAAATTTCAGTTTAAAAAAGTCACCTCAGGGAGGTCTGCCCTAACTACCCTTGTCAATCCGGCCTCCCCACTCTCTCCTCCCGGGGAAGTTATCACAGTCTGAAATTGCTTCTTGTCTCCTGGTTAAATTGAGGCTTTCTCAGGCAGCAGCCACGTCTCTTTCACTACCATAGGATCTACTCCAGAATAAGCACTTGAGAACCATTTGTGGAAATAACTCATCCTTGCCCTCTAAGAATTTGCGGGTGGAAACCCTGTGCATGGAGCTCTAGTTCCTATCTCTGCAGTTGGCTTACACTGAGGTCTTGAGCATTTCTCTTGGCCATCCCTGCATCAGTTTTCCTACTGATAAATAAGAACATTAGAGAAGTGAGGTTGGGGTGCCTGGGTGGCTCAGTCAGTTAAGCGTCTGACTCCTGATTTCGGCTCAGGGTCATGAGATCGAGTCTCCCCCTCTCCTCGGGCTCCACACTCAGCAGCGGGGAGGCTGCTTGAGATTCTCTCTCTCCCTCTCCCCTGCCCCTTCCTCATGCTCGCTTTCTGTCTCTAAAATAAATAAAATCTTTAAAAAAAAAAAGGAAAAGAAAGAAAGAAGTGAGGTTTTTGCCTAGAATGAAGAGACGGTGGAGAGTGAAAGAGACGGTGGAGAGTGACTTTCACAGGAGTGAAAGTGTGGCGGGGGAGTGCTGGATCAGAGGGCAGAAGAGCCTCACTGGCCTTTCTGCTAACAGAAAATGTTTGGCCTCACATCCTCATCTGCAAAACACAGAGTGTAATCCCTGCCTCCTCTTACAGGGATGTGGTGGGGATCAGGTGAGATGCTGTGTCAGAAAGTGCTTTGTAATTTGTAGAGTGCTTTACAAATGCAAGATGTTCTATTATTAAATTCCAGACTTAAAATGGATCCTGATTGTAACACCATTGCCGAGATCCATGCTGCGAGATTGAGGCCCGTTGGGTGTATGTGGGGGCCCCTTTTATGGGTAAAGACAGACCTGCGTGATACCAAGTATCATGTTGTGACGGGCTCTGTAATGGTGGGGCACCAGTGTATTCTCAAAGATTGAGGGCTTTGAAAGAATTGCTTGAAGTAGTCACAGAATATAAAATTGATACCTTAACCCACCCTTCCAGAGGATACATAGACCAAGTCTGCAATTAATAACTTTCACAGGAGGATCTGAAGGAGTTGAAGTAAAACAGGAACTTTGATAGTCTAAGGGTTAACCCCCCCCCCCAAAAAAAAACTATTACCAAGCAGCAAATCCCCAGAAAAGTCTGAGCCACACTTGAACACAAGCCTTGTAGTGGGTCAGATCTTACTCCCAGTTAGGAGCCTCAGGGGCTTGGAGAGGCCGGGTGGTGTGGTGAGAGCCTGGCTTAAGTCTCTAGGCCCCACCATTGACCTGGAACAAGTTACTTAACTTGGTGTGCCTCCAGTCCCTCATCTGTAAATGAGGGTCATAATAGTAACCCACCCCACAGGGTTGTTAAGAGGATTAAATAAGTTATACATATAAATCACTTAGAACGATGCTTGTCGGATAAGTTTCCAAGAATTAGTTTATTTTTTGTACAGGTTTTATGTTCCTTGTAACAATCTGGAGTTACGCATTGGGTGACTCCAGTGCTCATTAAGTAAATTTCAAGTTTTCAAGACTCCCTTCCCATCATTGGACCATTGTGCTCCTTGTCGTTAAGATTATAATAGAACCCACATATTTTTTTCCATTTGGAAACCTATTATGTGTATGTCTAGAAGGAATAATATTTTCCCATCCCGTGTGTGTGTGTTGCTTCTGAGGTAGCATCTGTAGGAAGAGTACAAAGGACAAGAGGCCACATCCCCGCTGTGGTATACTTCACCCCTGCACAAGGCCGTGCAGGACACCAAGTGAATCAAAAGGCTGTTGATGACGATGGCTGTGGAACGAATAGGTTTTTTGTTAGTTTGCCATTTCTTAAAATACTCAGCTAGAAAATACTCTGAATTACTCAAGAAATTATGTCACTCAGCTTTGCTTTTGACAGTCAGAAGATAAATTATTTTCCTTATTGCCCCAGTTTTTACCACCTGCAAGTGGGCCGTTAACGTGCTGGCCCACTGAAGGGACGATGGATGCTGCCGGGGACAAAAGGTCCATCCTCACCCCGCGGAGCTGCATTGCCGTGGGTCCTGAAGCCGTCACGTTGACCTTGAATTCATGCAGGAGCGTTTCAGTGACTTAATATAAAAGATGTGAAGTCCTCTATGCTTTTACCATGAAGGCCATTTATGCTTCCTCTGGTAGCAGGGGGACCGCGAAGGACATTCCTGCCCGCCTCCCCCTTCACTCCCTGCCCCCAGAGCATGGTCTGTTACGGTGAAATCTGAGAAGAACCCTGAATTAGGGCCTTTGATTGTGAAGAGTCCTTTGCTCAGTAAGTAAACTCCGCTCACGCAGCACTGGATGTCCTAGACACTGAATGTGTTACCTGAATGTGAGTGTCACGTCAGTAAGTCTTCTCGTGTTCTTAATAAAAGTTAAAATTCGGTAAAACAGCCACACTCAGTGTTCAGCGTGTCGAATAGCTTGGCTGCCAGTGCTTTAGGCACTAACACAATAAAAATGATGGGATTTTGTTTTGTTTTTAATATTCTCAAAGGTGATTACTTTTAGGCATTTTCAGACTGAAGATAAACATGCAGATGGTGGTTTATGTGGGGAGAATCTAAAATCATGGAATTAAAAGAAAAATTTTTTTAAATAAAAAATAAAATCATGGAATTTGTCACGTTCCGAAATCAGTTTCTTTTTACAAATCTTGGCTTTGAACAGGATTATCTTCTATCTCTTCGGTAAGGAAATAGTCGTGTAGGTAGTTGTTAAATAAGGTTGAAAAGACCATTTATCACCCTGAATAAACAGAAATCAGGTTCTAAAACCAGATTGAAAGAAGGAAATTACATCACACTTTTAAATAAGGAAGCACTGGGCAGAACTGGATGAGTTGTATGACAAAAATGTGCCCCTCCTCCTCTTGTGGATTGCTTTTGAGATTTATTAATGAGATCTGCTGGAAGGTAAGCACATCTAGGTTACTGTCTTAAGGTAGCCTGGTTTAAAAAAAAAAAAAAAGTTTCAAAGTGACTTTCCTCAATCTAAAGGCATGTGATTTCACCTTAATGAAGCATCTATGGTATGCTTTTTGGTGTAGCCTTTTTTGTTTTGTTTTCTTTAAGGAAAGTGACCTTAAATTTAGCCACAAAAACAGTAGGTGCAGAAGGAATAGTGTGGAAGAGGTGAAATTCATTATTTTCAGAAAGCTCTGCCCTGGTTGCTTAAGTGAATGTACAGTAATAGAAACCAACTTAGAAAGTTACATTGTTAACCACTTAAGCTTAGCGTTTTTTACCCAGTCTGCAAACTGTCCACTTGAGATCTTGGAAAGGAATGTAATGAAAATCCTTTGCCTGCTATTTACCTAAACTTGTCACATTATTATCATTGGGAGGTGTCCACCCACGTTAGGTTTATCCCTTAGTTCTTCACTGATTTACAGGACACGTGAGTCTGTCATGTCATTACTTTTTTAAAAAGTGAGATGAGTATTTTCTGTTTCGCAAATATCAGAAGCGAATGACGCCAGGATCTACACTGGAGGGGGAAAAAAAAAAAGTCCTGTCCCAAAAGATTTGGAGGATGGGCAAGAAATCGGGGCATGGCACGAAATAACCCAAGAACATGGGGACCTGCGCTGGCTTTTCAGCAGGGAGCCAGGTAGTGGACAAGGTGGTGTGACAGATGGCCTCGAAGGAAAAGGTGCATTCTAACAGAGATGAGGGGGAAAGAGAAGGAAGAGCTTGAAGAAGGTGGATCAGGGCCTGCCTTCTTAGAGAGGCCTTAAGGCCAGCCTACAGAGCTTTTCTTTAGAAGCGTTTGAAGATTTTTGAGCAGTGGAAGATCTGAATTTGCACTGCAGTTCAGGAATATGGATCTGGTACTGGTGTGTAGGGCAGGTTAGGTATTTTCAGACCCAAGGGCAGAGCGGTGCCCGTGAACGGAAGGAAGAGAGGTTTGAGAAGCAGTGTAGAAATAGGCTATGGAACTGGGCGATTGAATGTGCATCTGTCATAACTCAGGTTATTAAAAATGGTGCCTGTAGGAGAAGCGGGATCTTCGCAGACCCTGAGCTGGTTTGGGAAGGGGGAGGGGGTGTGAAGTAAGTGACAGGAGTTTGGTTTGTAGCATTGCAGATGCCAGAGGGCCGTCCAAGTGGAAAGATAATCACCAGACAATAGGAAATGCAAAGTGGAAGCTTGAGCCAGGGCTGGAGTGGAGACTCAGGAGATTGAGGAGCTGTCTACGCAGAGTTGAAGCCATAGAAGGGGATCCAATCTCAAGGCGCTGGGTGGGGAAGGGGGAGTTGCACGGAGAGCAAATCAGAGGACAGCAGCAAGAAACAGATGGGTTTAGGGGATATTATTTTTTGTCTTGAAGTTTTCCAAAAAAGTGGGGTTAGTAGGAAACAGTTCCCATCTGGGATTGGTATTTAACCGCATTTTTGACACACTGAAAAGGCCAAAGATTAGTTGATGAATTTTGGGGACGTTCTTTTGCCCAAGGTCATTCCGATCCTGTTTGACATCATGCTGCCTGGGTCCGCATTCGCTCTCACAGTTTGCATTTCATAACAATGCCGTCTTGTGCTGAGAGGTACCGATTTCCCCACATAGGGCTGTTCTGCAGTTGCTTTCCTAAAGAACTGTCAGGTAGAGCTGGCCTGACGCTTTACACAGAAACATTAGAAACACTGCGGCATTAGCGAAATTTCACCGGAGCGGTGGGTTTCTTTTTAACTTGAGGTTGGCCAGCCTGATTCCCACCCCCCTCCCCCCAGGAGGGCACACACTGCAGACTTGGGGCGTTTTGAGAGGGGCGTGGAAAAGAGTTGCAGGTGGCTTCCTGCCTCAGCTGGCATTCCCAGGAACACGCCGAAAACGTTTGCTTCCAAACCTACGGCAGGTCCCCCTCCCTGAGCCCATAGTTGGAAGTTATTTTCCAAAAGAGAATATGCAGTTACGTTTCCCTCCTTGGCTTCTCCCATGCAAGCAAGTAGGAAGTTCGGACAGTTTCATAACACGTCCCATTCACAATTCCCCATTGAAATGTAGAGGCAGGTCACCTTCTATGAATACACAAAGACACTATTGTGGTCAGAAGTGAGCTGGCTTAGTGAACACAATTCTTTTTATACTAAAAAAAATTTTTTTTCTGCAGAAAGCTAACAAGTAGGTGATGGAAACAATGAATAAAAAATAACTTTCTAGAATGCATATATAATTTTCAGGGGCCACCGAAATGTGAGTTTAGAATTCCGAGGCCATTCCAGCAGAGGCGATAGTTACACAATCATTCTGTTGAAAGCTAAGATTTAGATGGCATTAGGAGGCTGACATGCAGTAATTACGAGGAGCACTTGCTGGCCTGCAGACAGGTGGGGGTTGGGCCTCCAGAATCCCCCGCAGCATTTTTCTGTAATCTGGATGAGTGATCTCCAAACGTGTGCTTTCAGACTACTTAAATACCATATTCTTCTTCCTATCTTGGCTTTTCGTTTTTTTACATCACCACAGATACTTTCCCTGTGGTCTTGCCTGTGCTTGTGGGGTGCTGGGGGGTGGGGCCCCACATACCACCAGGCCAGGTACCCGGAGGGGGCGCCGAGCAGTGCGTTCTAAAAATGTTTTGGGTTTTTTGGTTTTTTGTTTTTAATTTTCTGTAGCTTTCCTCAATCCAGGTAAAGTAAAAACACGTGGGTTTCATCTCAAACGTCTGAAGACCAGAAATAAAAAATAAAAACATCTCCCAATAACTTAGATTTCTAAAATGGTGGGGTTTCTTTCCCCTGTTCTTAATCATCTACCTTTGAGAGACTGATCACAGGAGAAGGCTTGACTATTTGAAATAATATTTGAAACCTATTTACGTCTCTGCCTCATGGATCAGAGGCAGCTGGCTTTGGGAGAGTAAAAAGCCGAGGATCAGTAAGGGCCCTGTCTTCGCTTTATCACCGAAACGTTACTGTTTTTGCATGAAAAACAAACAGTAAGCACTTGCAGAGTGTTTTTTTGGTTTGTAGCTAAAAAAAAGACCCCGTGCTGGATTCATTGCGTAGGTTCAGTTGATCCTGATGGTGGTGGTAATGAGATGGTAGCCTACCGTCGTTCATTCAGCGAGCACGCAGTCCTTGAGCCCTTGCTGTGTTTCAGGTAGTGATGATTATGATTGGGACCTAGCCTCTTTCCTGGACTCCGAGTTTAGTGGGTGACAGATCTGTCCATAAAACAGATGACCTGTGTACCCCCTCCCCCAGCATGCATGTCTCACTCATCTGTGTCGCCCCCCGTCCTCAGCACACCGCCGGCCCTGGGTGGCTGTGCGCATGCTTGGGGAGAGCGTGAGAGAGCGTTAGGAAGCATCTATGCTCATCCCAGAAGGGGTCAGTGTTACACAGAGAGTTGACAGATCGTGTCCTGGTGTCTGAAAGAAAAAAAGCCTCAACTCTAAGGAAGCGTGAAGATTCAGAGAAAGCAGAGATGGATGCTAATGAACACCTCTGGCAAGAAGGTGTGGGTCGAGCTACTGGTTGACCCCAGACGCAGACCATCTGATGAGGGAGAGGGTCCTCACACTGAGGAACTACTAGATTAAGAAAAGGGCACTTACTTAGCCTTCGTCATCTGTGCCTTGCAGGGAGGCACGAATGAATCACAAGGCACTTCGTACAGGAGAATGTGAAGAATGTGCCTTTAAGTTTGTCTTTCAAAGGGAGGAGGAAGCTGTCCGTGGCCCCTGCTGAAGCCCGCAACCTTGCAGAACTTGATTTTTACAGGATAATGGAAATTGGGATCTTCATATCTATTTCTTTATTCTTGAATAGGTGGTAACTGGAAAATTCGTCCTCCCAGGGCCAACCCTGAACTGCAGAATCCAAACCAGTGCTAGGCCGTGGGGTGATCCGGTGCCACGTAGGATCTCCTGTTCAGTTGAAGCATTGGGTTCTAGTGAATGTTGGTTCTGCAGGTCTGAGTACAGTGATCTGTGAAATGACCCTATTGGCTTGGGGGACCGGGAGCTCCATGCCCACTACGGCCACACTCTGGAAGGTCGGTTCATAGGAGGCTAGAGAACTGTGTGCGCTGTGGCAAGCGAGCAAGATCTGTTGGGCCGCAGTGGGAGATCTGCTTTTGCTCGCCGTCGGTTATTCCTTACTTTGCCGGAAACATTTAAGGGCTTTGATGAGTATCCAACCCCCCTCCCCAAAATTGTTCTCAGTGTCTGTGTTGAAGTACTGTCGTGAGAAGGATGAGTTCATGCCAAAGGGTCGGGATCAAGTGAACGTCTGTAACTAAAGTTTTCTGTCCCACATCCCCCCAAGTTCTCTGATACTAGCTCTGTGTGGGTATTTCTGAATTGTTTATTCTCTCCTCTCTTCTCTGCCCCCCCCCCCCCCCCCCCCCAGGGAATGCAAGCTACTGGTTGACCACAGATCCCTAGGCCTCACAAGTGTGGAGACCTCCCAGAGTCAGACACCATGTCCACGGCAGGAGTTGCTGCTCAGGAGATTAGAGTCCCATTAAAAACTGGATTTCTGCATGATGGCCAAGCCATGAGGACCGTGAGGACCTGCTGGGGTGGCCGCAGTGAGTTTGAAAAGTAAGCGCAGGACAGAATGGCCCTGAGATCTCCAAACCCATGATGTTAAAATGAGATCGAGAATAGGATGGCTCCTTGTTTATGACCAAGCTGTTTTTCCTTTCCTTTCAGTCACTTTTTGAACATTGACCCAATCACCATGGCCTACAGCCTCAACTCTACGGCTCAGGAGCACCTAACATCTCTTGGTATGTGTCCGGAAATCCAAGCGGGGCTAGTGCTTGAGGAGCAAGTTGGCAGTGGGGATGGGGATGGCCCTGGCTGGCCCTGGCTGGTCCTCCAGCACCATGCTGAAGTGAGGAAGCCACCTGAGTCGTTTCCAGCAGGAGCCTGACCCCTGGTGGCAGCAGGTTCTGAAGAGAACCGTGCCCGGCTCTCGAGGCGCCCTGCCCTCGTCCTGAGTCACCGACCTATTTGTGCAAGTGTGATCTTTCACAGTCATTGAATTCTGATCCCAGCTCTGATCCACATTTAACTTTCAGAGGCCTTGGGTGAGATCTCTCCTCTCTCTTACGAGTATCGGGTACGCATCCGAGGGAGATCATCAAGTAGTGTCCATGTGGATAAAATACTTAGGAAAGTGTGTGATGGGCCGCCTGGCACTTCTGACGTGGACACTGTGTTCCTTAGATTTTTTTTTTTTAAAGATTTTATTTATTTATTTATTTGAGAGAGAGAATGAGATAGAGAGAGCATGAGGGGGGGAGGGTCAGAGGGAGAAGCAGACTCCCCGCTGAGCAGGGAGCCCGATGCGGGACTCGATCCCGGGACTCCAGGATCATGACCTGAGCCGAAGGCAGTCGCTTAACCGACTGAGCCACCCAGGCGCCCTTCCTTAGATTTTTGTCAGGAGCATTTAGCACATTGCAAGCAGGCCCGTGCTCTCCTGACGTCACGTTGGCACTAACGGAGCGGACCCGGTGTCGCCTCACGCACACCCTGCCTGCCTCGTGTCGCCGCATCTCTTACCTGCCAGGCTGGCGTGGTGCGGTCATCACGGAAATTATACGCTGCTCGTCGTCTGTGAATTTTGCACACGTCACAAAACCTGCCGAGATGTGTGGGTGTGCACCGCGCACATGTCCGAGGGAGATGGAAGAGATAACTTGTTCTTTGAACCAGATCATGTGCATTAGCAATCTTCTGGCCCCTAATTACACCTGTGGCTGTCCCCTGGGTGTTCTCAGGGCGGCAGCCGTCAGCGGTGAGCTGCCTTAGCAGAGAGCCGTGGGCGCACGGGTAGCCGGGCTCGGCCTCGAGCGGCTGGGCTCGCGCGAGCCTTTTACTCACCCCTCTCGTTCATTCTAGGGCACGCGGCGACATCTGGTCCGAAGAACAGCAGCCACTTCGCAGAAAATGGCCCCGCTCAGAAGCCCAGCCTGGCCCCTCTTATTATTCCCCCGGGCGAAGACTTGGGGCAGCGTGAAGAGGAGCGAGTCGTGTGTGGTTTTAAGAAACTCTCAGTGAACGGGGTCTGTGCTTCTCCTCCTCCGCTCACCCCCATAAAGAACCCCCCGTCCCCCTTCCCCTGCGTGGCCCTCTGTGAGCGGGGCTCCAGGCCCCTCCCGCCGCTGCCCATCTCGGAAGACCTCTCTCTGGACGAGACAGACTGCGAGGTAGAATTCCTCACCAGCTCGGACACGGACTTCCTCTTAGAAGACTGTACGCTCTCTGCCTTCAAGTATGATGTTCCCGGCAGGCGAAGCTTCCGTGGGTGTGGACAGATCAACTACGCATATTTCGATACCCCGGCTGTCTCTGCAGCAGATCTCAGCCAGGCCCCTGACCAAAATGGAGGGGTGCAGAATTCAAATCCTCCTCCGTCTCAGACCCACCGAAGACTAAGAAGGTCTCATTCAGGACCAGCCGGATCCTTTAACAAGCCAGCCATCAGGATATCCAGCTACATACACAGAGCTTCTCCGAACTCCGATGAAGACAAACCTGAGGTGCCCCCCAGGGTCCCCATACCTCCGAGGCCAGTGAAGCCAGATTATAGAAGGTGGTCAGCAGAAGTTACTTCGAGCACCTACAGTGATGAAGATAGGCCTCCCAAGGTACCACCCAGAGAACCTTTATCCCGGAGTAACTCCCGCACACCCAGCCCCAAAAGCCTCCCGTCTTACCTCAATGGGGTCATGCCCCCGACGCAGAGCTTTGCCCCTGATCCCAAGTATGTCAGCAGCAAAGCCCTGCAAAGACAGAACAGCGAAGGATCTGCCAATAAGGTTCCTTGCATTCTGCCCATTATTGAAAATGGGAAGAAGGTTAGCTCGACACATTATTACCTACTACCTGAGAGACCACCGTACCTGGACAAATACGAGAAGTTCTTTCGGGAAGCAGAAGAAACAAACGCAAGCACCCAAACCCAGCACCTGGGTGCTGACCACAGTGCCGTCTCGGCCGCAGACAAGCTGGACTCGAAGACAAAACTGGATCCAGGTGGCCACGTGAAGCGCAAACATCTGTCCTATGTGGTTTCTCCTTAGGCTCTGGGGTCGCGGTCCGGCAGCGGCTCCCTGGGAGCAAATGGTTCTCAAGCCACTTCCCCATTTGGTTGCGGTTCACAGGGAAATGTTTCCGATTGCAGCATAAAATAGTGGAACCCTCTGTGTTAGAGACAGAGAGGGTCAGCAGCCATGGGGCACGCTCGTGCTGAGAAGCCCAGATCTTGTTGGCGTCGGAGAAGAGTCTGTTCCAGCCTGCAGTGTAAGGCTGTGCTGGCGGGGAGGGAAGGCTGGGGAACCTTTGACATGTGTATACGTTAGAGACCTGCAGAAGCCTGTGGGGCAACCTCAGGCCATAGTCGCAGGGTGACCAGTTAGTTGCTACCTTAGAGTAACATGTATTCAGAAGGATAAAACAAGCTGGAGGACAACTCCTGACCGAAAATTGAGCAAATGGAAGAAAACACAGTATTGTTTAGATCGGAATCCTAAAACAAAACAAAAAAACCCGTTTTTGCTTAGTTTGAAAGGGTCTGGCTCTCGGGCCCGGGAAGTTCTTCTGTCTCCTTTATTTCTGCAAGCAGTCTGTGCCCCGGGGGGCAGGGCGCACGTCCGTCCGTCCGTCCGTCCCATGGCTCCACCTGCCCGGTTTAAAAATCGCCCCGAGGCCCGGGTGCCCCTGGGTTTTGCCTCCTGCTCCGTTGAGGGGAGGTTGGCAGTGCGCTGGGCAGCCGGGTTTTCCCCTGCGCACGTGTGTCTCACCCCTTGGGAAGCGAGAAGATCCCGGAACCCATCAACGGTTCTTGCTGACAGTTCCTGCTCCGCTCTGCCCGCTGACGCCCGTTGCGCAGGCCTCGCAGCTGTGGTGGGGGGCACGGCCGACTCCTGCGGAGAAGCAGACCGTTGGCCCGTGTTCAGGATGTCATTTACGCCATCGAGAACCAGCTGTGTGACTGAGCGTCACTGGGGGCGTGTGGGGGGTTTTTTTGGTTTTTTCGGTTTTTCGGTTTTTTTAGACTGCATTAATAAACAAAGACAACACAAGCTGGCCTTGTGTTGCTGGTTCCTACTCAGTATTTCCCGGGGATTGTTTGCTTTTTGAGCAAAACGCTTCTGACCAACCGTGCAGCATGGTCCAGCACAGGTCACGTCGGCGTCTTCCTGCTTTTGAGACTCTCCCGGCCGGCGGCTTCCCCCCGAGTCAGCGAGACCCCCGGCACGCGCTGGGGTCGCCCCGTGCTTTGAGGTACGGGTCTTGTATAGATAAGCACAAAAGAGAAGGTGCTCACTAACCGAGGGACATTACTACAATGTTCTCTTAACAGTTAAACAAGCTGTTTACAGTTTAAACTGCTGAATGATACTATTTGAGCTATTTAAAGCTTATATTTTAGTATGAACTAAATGAAGGGTAAGACATGCTTTAGAAAAATGCACTGATTTCTGCATTATGTGTACAGTGTTGGACAAAGGATTTTATTCATTTTTGTTGCATTATTTTGAATATTGTCTTTTCATTTTAATAAAGTTATAATACTATTTATGACACCGTTAACAATGTTGCTTGCCTAAGCTCTTATAAAAGTCGATGTCTCAAGTACGTTGACAATCATTGCCATCTCTAAGCACAAGGGAAGATTTTTTTTTTTTTTTACAAGGGAAGATTTTTGACAGCTTCCTAAATGCTTGAAATTCACTGTCATTCCCTAAAATAAAAGTAATTTGAACGACTGATACTGAATCTTATACACACGCACAGTGAAAAGTGGGCTCTTTGTTTTCACCTTCAAGAGTTCAGAGAAGGGACCTGAACTGATGCTGGGGTGCTTCTGTCCAAACAGGCGCTGCCTGCGGAGGGGCCCGCCCCTCAGGGGGAGCATACGGAAGAAATCAGCTCTCACACAGGCTTGCCGTGACTCACTGGGTTTCAGGATTAGGTCCGGGTTGCTGTGGGCCCTTTGGGAAGCTCTGCGGCTTGTCTGGTGTGCGGCCACCAGGGGAAGCCCAGCCTGCCCAGGCCTCTCACGGGGAGAACGGCCATGCTCACAGCTTCTGGACGCAGGAGGAAGCCGAGCCGCTGCGTGTGAGGGCCCCTCTCCAGCGCCGGGGGGCCCTGTGCTCAGCTCTCCCCTCTCCTGGGCCCTGTGGCCAAAACCCAGCCACTCTCACCCGTCCACAGGCTCCCGGGCAATGGTGAAGCTCTCCGTGACCTTGACTGAGCCCCTGCATGTGCTTGGTATCCTGCAGAGTCAAGAGGGAGGGCTTGGAGGTCAGTGAGCAGGGCTGGGAGTCCACCTCTACCTCCGCCTAATTATGAGTTGGGCAGATGCTTTAACATCTCTGCCCTTGGGTAAAATTGGGGCAGGGGCGTCCTGATACCCACAATAGGAAATTACCTGTGACAACTGCATATAACCAACTGCAACTGGTCCGCGCATGGACTTCATGGTCCCTGGTTACTGTGCCTTGACAGGTATTATTTCGGACACTTTACAGACGAAGAAATGGGCTTGGGGAGTGGCTTCCACAGACATTCGCTGGGGAATACCAACCACATTCTAGGTCCTGGGAGGTGGGCATATCCTCTGCCCTCTAGAATTTTTTTTCTTTTAAGATTTTGAGAGCGAGAATGAGAGTGCGCGCATGCGTGTGCGTGAGAGCGGGGAGGGGCAGAGGGAGAGAAGCGGACTCCCCACTGAGAAAGGAGCCCGATGCGGGGCTCGATCCCAGGACCCTGGGATCATGACCTGAGCCGAAGGCAGACGCTTAACCGACTGAGCCACCCAGGCGCCCCTGCCCTCTAAAACTTAAAGCAGTCCCTAATTACGGTTTGCGGTGAGCGCCAACAAGGGGTGAATGGTGGGGCTCTACTCTCTAAGGTGATAAGATGCGAAGGGTCAGACTCAAAGCTGAAGGAGGTGGATTGAGTAGGAAAAGCAGACTGACCAAGTTACGTGTGAGCCCCTGACGCTGGAAAGAAAAGGCTGACGCTTCCATAAGCCAGAAGTTGTGGCGGCAGGAGGATGGACGCTGGGCAAGGTAGGGACCACTCAAAGATCTCGGTGGGGGATCGGCAGGATCTGATTGTCTTAAAAAGATGACCGTGGCTGTTGCATGGCAAACAGCTTGAAGAGAAGCCAAGGGGAATGCAGGGATGTCAGGACAGGCAGGCATCAGGACCCGGAGAGATAAGGGGACAGGGAAGATGTCAGGACCAGAGACAGAGAAAACTGGCTTTGAGAGATCCTTCGAGGTAGAAGCAAGCAGCAGCTTGGAGACCTTGGGTGGGACAAGCCCAGGGGTGCACAGCTCTGGCGCCCCCGCCCCCCATTCCCACCCTCACCCCCTGTGTGGGCTCCACCAGCCTCCAAGGGTCTCAGGGTGGTCCGGAGATGTGAATGGAGCGCTCCCAATGATCCTTATCTGCATCTCATTTTTTGCCTCTTTTCTTTCCCCCTTCCATTGCCTTTCCTTGTATTGTGGTCAAGATCATCTTTTTTGCTTTCTTGGGTTTTTTTTTTTTTTTTAAGATTTATTTTATTTTAGAGAGAAAGCGTGCATGGAGAGAGGAGGGGCAGAGGGAGAGGGAGAGAGCGAATCTCAAGCAGACTCCCTGCTGAGCACAGAGCCCAAGGTGGGGCTCAATCTCACAACCCCCAGATCATGACCTGAGCCGAAAGCAAGAGTCGGCCACTTAACGGACTGAGCCCCCCCCAGGCGCCCCAAGCCCGTCTTTAATTAACTCCACATTTGCTTCCCTCTGAACCTTTGCATTTTTCCTTGATTTTGCAAGAATACTCTTTTTCCCTATCTTTTCGTGGCCAACCAAATGCACCTCACCGCGGTGTGAATGCCACGCAACTAAAATGCCATCCAGAGCACCAGCTCAATCCTCAACCCGCACCTGCACCCAGAGCCAGTGGAACTCTCTGGAGAGTTCTCCCAGCCCAGGCCTGCCCAGGCCCACACTCTCAGCTGTTGCTGAGACCAGCAGCAAGGAGAATCAGCTGTTAGCTACCACTAGATGCACTGTGATTAGGCAGGTACTATCTAGTGACAACGTACTGTCCTAAAGTCAGGAAATGGGGGCTCCAGTCAACCTGTCACAACCATGCAAGCTTCCTCGAGCCTGCCGTCCCCTCAACATGAGACCAGGCCCCAGCAGGCCCAATACCACACAAACCGCAGGGATTTATTATTAGGGCCTGTCTCCTGGCAGAGAGGAGATGCTAAGGTCAAGAGGACTCATTTGTCAGTCAACTCGAAATGCAGATAATATTAAATGGGAAGTCTTCCCAGGCTGTAATAATCGATCATGTATTGCCTATCTTTTTTAAATGCCACGTGTTTGTATGTTGCTTATTTCTCTCTAGGTCTCTAGGGATATCTTAACTATGTAATGAAAAGAACTCTCCTTAAGAGGGTGTCTAGTCGCTGCTAGGGGCCCTGTTCCCAAAAAAGAGGCCAACAGATCCTTCCAGAGCATTTCATAATTGGAGAAAAGAGAACGCATCCCTCTGTCTATTGGCTCAAGTACAAAATATATATTAAGTTATTCTCTACTGTAGTTCTTAATTTCATCACCTAATCTGTAGTTCTGAAGTACATGGAGACTTTCTCTTAAAAATAAGCTCCTAGCATGGGTATCTCATACTTTCTTGTTTTGGTTTTTTATTTTGTAGTAATTATAGACTCACAAAAAATTTCAGACTTGCACAGAAAGATGCCCTGGACCCATTACCCAGATTCCCCCAAAGATAACATCTTACAAAATTATAGCCCCTTATCAAAACCAGGAAATGGACATTGTCACAATACTCGTATGTGGTATTTTGTTTAGAAAGAGTTCCTATCAAAACGGACTTGGGTCCCACTTTCTAAAATTAACTTAGAAATTAATTCTGGCATTCTGTTAGGCGTTTTGTGAGAAGCTAATAAAGCTTTAAGAATACATTGCCGTGTAAATATTTATACATTATGCTAATGGTAACTGAGATAAAGCTGATGTGTGTTAACTTTGATCGGCCAAGATTTTCTGCAAGATTAATTTGCATGAGCTCTAGTAAAGCTACTCCTTCAAACCTGGAGGATCCGTGAATGGTTTCCCAGAGCCTTGAGGTGCCACAACTTTGAAATGTGTAACAAAGCAAGAGGTGAACTGAATTTGTAAGCCGGTACTAAAGCTTTGAGGTATCCTTGTCTTTAGAAAAAAGTCTGGTGCAAACGACAGGACAGAGACAAGTTTTCTTTGCAGACTAGACCATTTGACAAATGTTCTGGTCCTTCTCCCCGGCACATGAGAATCACACCTTTTAAGAGAAGTTCTGGGGTCTTATTTGGGGGAAAGCAGAGAGGGGAGAGGTGAGAAGAATGGGGAAGAAGGTCCGAATGTGCCTGAACTTGGTGAGCCTTGCCTTTTATGCCTTGTGACTGAGTGAAATAACATGATGTAGGCATGTCTAAGGCAATTGGAGGGTGTGAATTTTCATGCTTGCTTTTCCCTTGAATGTATCGAACTTCAAGAACCTTCTGCCTAAGCCGCAGAGAATCTGTCAGTGGAGCGTGTTTAAACAAGCTCAGCTCAGCTTTCATGTTAGCTGCCCAGAACTCAGAGAGGCAAACATACTTCGTGTGTCTGACTTTTCGTATCTGAGGAAACCCTTCACATCAGAGCAGCCCTGTAAACCGTCCCTCAATGTCCACTGCCCACTGGCAGCAGAGGGGGTTTGAGGCTGGGGAGGGAGCTGGGGACGGTCGGAAAGGACTCTTCTGGGTCCTAGTTTCACCTGCTAGAAAGAGAGATGCTATCAGGCTGTTGGGCTTAAGTGTGCCTCCCCAGTGCGGGCAGCCCTCACCCCGTGGTTCCCGAAAACTGCCAGGAACCCTCGGCTCGGCAGGTCAGCCTGTAGCAAGTTTACTAACACAGCATCCATGACCATGCATAAATCTGCTCCCCGCCACCCCCCCCCCCACACACACACACTAAGTAAAAAGGCCTCAGGGGAGGAGGCAATTTGTTGTAACCAGGGGACCAGTCTTTGGGAGTGTTTCTATGTCCCTCAACTTGACTTTGTGCCCTTATGGAGAAAGGCAGCCACTTCAGTCCTGGGAAGTAGCTTTGGATCCATGTCAAATAAAGGTCTTAATCACCTGCTTCGTGCATATTTCTTCCTTTTTACAGTCATGAGGGTTGAGCCCAGTGCCTCCCCAAAGGACAGCATGACTTTTGTACCCTCCCCTCTTGTGTAAGGCTGGATGAGTCTGTCTTTCTGGCCTGAGCCCGCAGCAGCCTAAGGCGCCACGGCTCACAGGAAGCTGTCTGTATTCTGTGTGTGCCCGACTGCCAGCCGCCCTAGTGTGCTCGCATGAACTAGCGTCCTTGTCTACGCGGCTTCTGTTTAGTGACCCATCAAAGTTCTCGGCTGAGCAGAAGCTTGGACAGTTCCCGTGGCTCAGGGAGGCCCAGGCGCCGGCTCACCAGCTCCAAGCTGTAGAGGGAACTCGCGCACCCACAGCAGCCCAGACGCATGATAAGACTTGTCTGCGCATCGTCCCGGC